GTCAGTGCAAGCTAGTGAGTGAGATTCACTAATGCCCACAGTTTATATTCCAAAGAGGCTTGGGCTGTTTTTTCTTTTGTTGTTGTTCACTTGCTATCACTTGTGCAGTAGTTTTCATTTAAAATCCTGAGGTGATTTATGATTTCAACGACACGGACATTCCATGGGATGAATTACATACTACATTGATATTCACAAAATTAGTGATATCTGAAAATGTCATTCATCAATGAATACACACACAATGAATACATACACATACAACACACATACACAAACACACACACACACACACACACACACACACACACTGCCTTGTTGGCCACAGAAATTCAGTCTAGCAGAGGAGACATGAGTAATAAGCATGACACAGTGTGGTGGATAAGGACAGATGTCAGGACAGAATGATAAGGAAAGGCAAAAGAGGAACAGCTCAGCCGGCCTGCAGGAATTAGGCAAGGTTTCTTGGAGCAGATCCAGAGCTGAGTTTTAAAATGTGAATCAGTACAAATCAGCTTAATTAGCATAGTGGGTCAGGATTCTCATTCAAGGGTGAGCAACAACATGTGAGAGGGCAGGGAGTAAAGAACACTGCAGAGGGCCACTGAGTATCTTTACAGCTAATGTGACCAGACTCTGACTTAGAGAGATACACCATTAGTTGCAGTCAAGCTTGACTGATGGGCAGGAAATGAGTTAGGATGCTGCTGCTGTGATCTGGATGAAGAGTAGTAAATAAATGAATTAAGGCACTGGCAGCGCGGATGGCGAGAGGTGTCTACATTTGACAGTTATTCAAGAGGTAAAAGCGATAAAGTGGAATTTATCTTGGTGAATGCACTAAATTACTGAATCTGGACTCCAATTCTTAGGCTGGTAGATTTGATTTCAGATGTTCATTGACCTAAATCCATGCATTAAGGTAATAATGCTAATAAGGTTTCAGGGGCTGAGAATGGCAGCTGATTATTTGCAATGAAATAAACTGTCACAGTGATTGTCATCTTTGTTTTGGCATGCTCACACACTTTTTCTTTACAGGAAGATATACATGAGAAACTACTCATAATTGGAAGGTTGCCTGATGGATATGGAATTAGAGATGGGAAGTTAAACTGTGTGTTTCAAATGGCTCATTTTATTGGGCCACAACGGGGGACAGGACTGTTCAAGTGTGTGAGGTACAGTCTTTTCCTTGGAAAACACTTGGATAAATGCTGCTTCTGTCTCTCCCACTTCTACATTTGCATTGCTACCCAAGAGTACATCTATGGATATTCTTTACAGAAATATATTTGGTCAAATCTTAATCTGTCCATGCTGTCTTTTAAAGGTGATTTTAGGTAGCTTTGCCTTGATTTGTATAACATTACAATTTAAATTTTTTTTTTTTTGACAGGCAGAGTGGACAGTGAGAGAAAGAGACAGAGAGAAAGGTCTTCCTTTGCTGTTGGTTCACCCTCCAATGGCCGCTGCAGCCAGGGCACCGCGCTGATCCGAAGGCAGGAGCCAGGTGCTTCTCCTGGTCTCCCATGGGGTGCAGGGCCCAAGCACTTGGGCCATCCTCCACTGCACTCCCGGGCCACAGCAGAGAGCTGGCCTGGAAGAGGGGCAACCGGGACAGAATCCGGCGCCCTGACCGGGACTAGAACCCCATGTGCTGGCGCCGCAAGGCGGAGGATTAGCCTAGTGAGCCGCAGCGCCGGCCTACAATTTAATTTTCAATCATACATCTCATTTTCCTTATTTCCAAGGTTTTAGAGGTAGGAACAGGGGAACAACAGACCTTTCAGTCACCATCTGCTTCCTACAAACCCCAGGTGAAAGATGCAGAGACAATGGGATAGAAAAGAAAATGTACACGATCCAAACAAAATCTTTAAAATAACTGGCCATAGTATCTAAAATTTCATAATTTAAACAAATCAAATCATGCCATATCTTACTACCAAACCATCTGAAAAGACTTTAAACAGTCAATAAGCTAGAATCATGTCCAACAGATACCTTACTCCTATCTATATCTGCCAGTATCAAATATCCTCAATGTCCCAAGTGCTACAGAAAAAGTGGAAATTATCAGTGCATAGTCCCTACCCTTATGGAGCTCACTATTTAGAAGAGAAGGGCACACAAGCAAGTCCTCACACCACAGTGGGGTCAGTGGGATAGCAGTTCCAGAAGGAGCAAAGAGGAAAGAGTAGTCAGTTCTGTCTCAGGGGGAGGCCGGAGCGGGAAGTAGAGTTAAGTCACAGAGAACGTAACTCCTCACGTGCTGACTCATCACCAGCGTCAAACTTGGTAGAGGCCTTGTTGGGAAGACCTCACTGAACGCACACCTGCAAGGCAGCGGGAGCATGGAAACTGCTGACCTAGCTACAGAATGTCACCAGCTGTTCTGGTTATCTCTAAAACAATGAGAAAATCATAAAAACGAAGTCCAATGAAATTCACCTTTTAGTTTTTAAAAACAATAGAAAAACAACAACAGCATCATTCGGGACCATTTTAAGGAGTTTGGTAGGTGTGTAAGGGGTACTGTGAAACCGAAATCAGTTACAGGTGTCACAACCACAGAAATGATGTGAATCTCTAATTCCCTCTTTGCTCAGTTTTCTGATTTAATCCTTAGCCTATGAAATATTCACTTCAGATCTCCCATGTACATTTATAGTGGTAGATACAGATGAGTAGGACTGTGAATATGGAAGGTAATTATACCTAATGGTACAAATAGATCTAATACAAATGATAAGGGGATTTGGGAGGTGACAAAGTATCAAAAGGTTCCTGAGGGAAGAGAGCCTCATGGGTAAGTGGTGTTTGAAATGGATCTTACAGCAGACAGACAGAAAGGTCATTCATCTGCTGGTTCTCTCCCTAAGTGGTGCAGTGGCTGGAGCTAGGTAGTAGATCTGACACTAGGAGCCAGGAGCTTCCTTCTTCTGGGTTTCTGATGCGGGTCAGGGGCCCAAGCACTTGGGCCATCTTCTACTGTTTTCCCAGGCAATAAGTAGAGTGTTGAATCAGAAGAGGAGCAGCTGGGACACAAACTGGTGCCCGTATGGGATGCCAATGCCACAGCTGGAGGTTTAGCCTACTAGGCCACAGCACTGGCCCCCAACAGTGAAAGTCTTGCTAGACTCATCCAAATCATTATTTCTCCTGATAGTCAAACTTTTTTTAACAATCTAGGTCACATTAATTAAAATTTTATCATTGCCTTTTTTTTTTTTTTTTTTTTGGCAGGCAGAGTTAGACAGAGAGAGACAGAGAGAAAGGTCTTCCTTCCGTTGGTTCACCCCCCCAAATAGCCACTACGGCCGGCGCACAGCGCTGATCCAAAGCCAGGAGCCAGGTGCTTCCTCCTAGTCTCCCATGCGGGTGCAGGGCCCAAGCACTTGGGCCATCCTCCACTGCCTTCCCAGGCCACAGCAGAGAGCTGGACTAGAAGAGGAGCAATCGGGACAGAATCCGGCACCCCATCAGGGACTAGAACCCGGATGCCAGCACCACAGGCGGAGGATTACCCTAGTGAGCAATGGCGCCAGCCTATCATTGCTTATTAATAACTGTATATCTAGCTATGAAAACTTTTAGGAATATAATGTGATACAATTTTTTAAAAGATCATTGAAGAGGTAGACAGAGAGAGCTCCTACTCACTGGTTCACTCCCCAGATGCCTACAACAGCTGGTGCTGAAGTCTGGAGCTGAAAACTCAGCTTTGTCTCCTATGTGCATGGCAGGGACCCAACTATGTGAGCCGTCACCTGCTGCCTCCTAGGGTGCGCATTAGCAGTAAGCTGGATTTGGGAGCAGAGCTGGGACTGGAACCCAGGTTCTCTGATAAGGGATGTGAGTGTCCTGTGAGACCAAACATTTGCTCCAGTTTCAAAAACTGAAAGATAAAAAGGAAAAAAAATAAGCAGTAGGGAGGTCATTTGGCACAGGTTAAACCATCGCTTGGAGGCCCACACTCCATATAGGAGTGTCGAGGCTTGTGCCCCAGCTCTAGTCTGCATTCCAGCTTCCTGTGCACCAGGGAAGGCTCTGCCACCACGTGAATGACCAGGATTGAGTTCTTGGCTTAGGCCTCGCCCAGCACGCCCTGCTGTGGGCATTTGGGGATTGAACCAGTGGATGAGAGACCTTTCTCTCTTTCTCTCTATCTTTCAAAAAAATAATAATTTTAAAAGAGAAAAAAAAGAGGTGTGTATTAAAATACTTAGTAACCATGTGTAGATCTGCATGGCCCCAGGAGGTTGTTATTACTCCACATCATGCTTGGCTCTCTTAGAGGCTGAACAGTTTGCTCAGTGGGTGGCTTCCTGAAAAGGATGACTAAGAGAATGGAAAACGAAAACAAAGACCTTTCTCTTAAGGTACACTTTACTTGGTCTTATCGACCCATAGATCAAGAATTTTGTTATCATAATGCCTTAAACCTTTTTTTGAGGGAGCCCGTGGCTAGAAGCAGGTCAGACTGGCTCCACCCTGGAGCGCCTTGCCAGCACCCACACGCTAACCAAACCAGGCTGGAAGCCCATTGTGACAAATATTTGCCAACAGACAACAAGATCTAGGGGTTGACAGAAACTAGTTGGAAAAGGCTCCATGAAGTCTGCCCCTGCCTTCACAATGGGAAATGTGTAACCACTGCATTTGCTCTTCAGAGGTGGCGTGTTAAAGACAAATACCCCTAGACTGCGAGACCTCAGTGGCTTGGTCTCTTTCTACCAGCCCCTCCCTTTTGTGGGGGAGCTTCTCTTTTTCTTAAATAAAACTTCATTTCTTCCACTCTCACTGTAGTGTCGGGTCTCGTCAATCATCATTGACATTGTGACACGAACTTGACCCCTCTCCCAGTTTTCCTCCAGTAATTTTTTTTTCTCAAAACCTCCAACAATTTCATTGCTTTAAACCTGCTGGGTCTTTCATTTTAGTAGGAAAATATTTAATTCCCTAAAGCAGTACCAAAGGAGCACTTAATCTCTTACACTTTTCTCTCTCCTGTCCCATCTCTCCTTGCTTCACACTCTCAGGAATCCTTTGTTCTTTGTGCAGAATACTAAGTAATGTCCTTTGCACCTGATCACTAGGGCTAATCAGCGCTTTTTCTAAAAAAAAAAAAAAAAGATTTTAAAAACTCCTTTAAGTCTCCGAACCATGAGTAAACTACAGATTACTAACCTTTTGATGATTTTGATGATTTTGTTTTCCTTAAATTCTCTGTCTTGGGAATCTCACCATTTGCATTTGTTTAGCTCGGCTAGATGATAGAGATCATCTCATTAAACCTGAGGTACAGAGAAAGAGAATTACTCCATTTACAGTGGAGAAAACTGAAGACTTAGAGACATGGTACATGAGAAAAATCAGAACCGGAAATCATGTCTTGTGACGCTAGCACCTGAAATCAGAAGGCCCTTTTCCATCCTTCTGGGTGGCCATCTCTCCACCTTAACCCATAGGGATGCCTTTTTCTCTGTAGAGTGACTCTAATTAAACTTGTTTGAGAAAAGCAAAATCTAATCTCTTTGGCTCTCTTCTTTCCTGAGCCACCATGCACAGCTACCCAGGTTGCACACTGCACATCTTTATGCAGCATCAACAGACTGTAACAGAAATGATGCCCATGAAGTTGTATGCCAAGTCATGACCTTGGTAATGGATTTCCTAAATACCTACTTCTAAGGCCTGGGCCAGAACTTCTATCTCAGGTACTTGGTCACACAGGGACAACAAGGCGAACCCTCAATTAATCGTGCTAGTAGAGGGGACAATGTCATGGGAAATGGAAGAGCATATATAGCCCATTTTGGACCTGTGACATTTTTAGAAGCATATTTAGTTTCCTAAGTATGTTGGGTTTGGTTCATACTAACAGTGTTTGAATTTGAAACTACCTAGGGACTTAAGGATGGGAGGAAATAGATTGCAGATAGGTTGGCCCTTGGGCAGCTCAAACTAACTACATGTGTCTGTGAACTAATGGCTTAGGCATTTTACCTACTTAAGCAATGAGAGAAATCTATTATATGACTTATACAAGGAGAAAACATTAATCCTGAAATGACTCTGTTTTTCATCTAACCCTCAAAATAACTATATGAGTTAGATACCACTATGTTATTATTGTCTCCATATAATAGATGATGAAACAGGCACAGAGAGGTTAACTTGCCCAAGATCACCCAGCTAGTAACAAACTCAGGACTGGAACCCAGTCAGTCTGATTCCAGTCTGTGCTTTCAACCACTGTGTTATATAATCAATATAAAACTCTATACCAACATCCAGGGAGAACAGTGAGGAATAAGATGTGGAGAGAGGGGAAGCCTTCTTTAACTCTGTGTTTCCTAGAATATTGTCACTTCCTATTGTAACCACCTCTTACCTCTGGAGTTTGTGTCTGACAGCCAGTAGTAAGCAACAGCTGGCCATGGAACAGTCAAGACAGACAACGTGAAACCTCAGCACTAAAGGTAAGACCTCGTAAGACCTTTGCTTACAAAGGGTTTCCAGAATCTCTTTTTATTCTTATTTACATACAGTTCTAATAGGCAAATTAACTGGTTCACAACTCTAATGGCCAGATGTAACAAGACCAAGAGGTGATGATAACAACGACAATGACACAAAATAAAAGGCAAGGATGCAAATTTTGCCAGTGGGGTAGCTTCAGATATATCCACAATTTTTTTTTTTTAGTCTCCTCCCTTCAAGAAGTAGGGCTTACTCTTAGTGACTTGCTTCTAGAGTGGGAAGATGCTAGAGTGACTCTGATTCTAGGTCACATAAAGCCTTGGGGACTCCTCCTGTTCTCATGTTCCCTTACATTGCTTGCTCTGGGAGGAGACAGTAGCCACGCCCTGAGGCCGAGTAAGCCAGCAGTGGTGAGGAACCGAGGCCTCCTGCCTATAGCCGTCCAGGAAGGGAATCTTCCAGCTCTAGTCAGGCCTTTTCAGATGACTGCACCTGCTAACAATCTCACCAGAGATTTTAGAAATGTGCTACATCTAAAATGGTTGAACTAAAAATCTTGCTGATCAAGTCAAACTTGTATTACCTGAAAAAAACCTTCTAGATTTCCCCATGGTGTCTATGTGGTCCTACCATGCTACTCCTTAGGAGTCTTAGCTCTTTGTTGGGTTATAAACTGGAAGGATGTAAATCTCTTTCCCTTTGTACCCTTTCCTAAAAGCCTAGAGCCTGGGGCTCTGTGCACTGTGAGAATTAAGCTACCCCATGTGGATGCAGCAGGAAGATGCTAGCAAAGTCCATAACGTCATGAGTTGCCTCAAGTAACTTCCCTTTGGAACGTTTTTCACATAAATAATATATGAATATATACTCATTTCCGAAATAGTCTACAGCAGTCTCCCCTTAACCATGGTTTTTCTTTCAGAGGTTTCATTTACTAGTAGCCAAAAACAGTATGTGGAAAATTCCAGAAATAGGCAGTTCATAGGTTTTAAATTGTGTGCCATTCCACTGTGCCCACCTGGGATGTGAATCCTCCCTCTGTCTACACTGTCACTCAGTAGTGTTAGCAGCCCTTCAGACCCTCTGACTGGCTGTCACAGGGTCACAGTGCTTATATTCAAGCAAGCCTTATTTTACTTAAGGAGGACCCTAAAATGTTGGTAATTTTATTAGAGGATATGTTATAAAGGTTATATTTGACTATTAAGCTTTTACTGTGCCCGCTTTATTAATTAAACATTATCATAGGAATGTATGGATATGGGGCTGGCGCCATGGCTCACTTGGCTAATCCTCCACCTGCGGCGCCAGCATCCCATATGGGTGCCGGATTCTGTCCCGGTTGCCCCTCTTCCAGGCCAGCTCTCTGCTGTGGCCTGGGGGGTGCAGTGGAGGATGGCACAAGTGCTTGGGTCCTGCACCCCATGGGAGACCAGGAGAAGTACCTGGCTCCTGGCTTCGGATCGGCACAGCACCGGCCGCAGCGGCCATTTGGGGAGTGAACCAATGGAAGGAAGACCTTTCTCTGTCTCTGTTTCTCACTGTCTGTAACTCTAACTGTCAAATAAATAAATAAATAAAATCTTTAAAAAAAAAACACAGTATATGCAGCATAATTCTGTGCTATTCATGGTTTCAGGTCCATTGGAGGCTTGGAACATACTCCTATGGATAAGGGAGGGCTACTGGATAAAGTAAAACATTAAGATTCCTTTTACTTAAAATTTAAATTTTTTTTATTTATTTGAAAACCAGAGAGACAGAACAGAGATCTTTCATCTCCTGGTTCACTTCCAAAATGCCTGCAACATGTGGGACCAGGCCAGGCCAAAGTCAGGTGCCAGGAACTTGATCTTGGTCTCTCACGTTGGTGGCAGGGATCCAAGTACTTCAGCCATCACCTGCTGCCTCCCAGGATGTGCATTAGCAGGAACTTGGAATCAGAAGTGGGACTGGAGCCAGGCACTCTGATATGAGACGCAGCTATCTGACGCGGCATCTTAACTACGTGGCAAATGTCTGCCTTAGCACGGCTGTTATTTCGATAACAGGAGCAGGCGTGGTGGTGCAGTGGATTAAGCCACTGCTAGGACACCCTCACCCCATGTCAGAGTGCTGGTTTCAGTCCCAACTACTCTGCTTCTGATCCAGCTCCCTACTAGTGTGCCTGGGAAGCAGTGGGTGATACCTTAAGTATCTGAGACCCTGCTACCAATGTGGGAGACCAGGATGGACTTCCTGGCTCCTGGCTTCATCCTGGCCCAGCCCCAACTGCTGCAGCCATTTGGGGGGTGAGCCAGGGGGTGGAAGATATCTTTCTGTCTCTGTCTCTCTTTCCCTGTGTGTCATTGTCACTGTCTTTCTCTCTGTCACTATGCCTTCCAAATAAATAAATAAAGCTTTCAAACAACAACAACAAAATCCAGAAAATTACAAGTGTTGGTGAGGATGTGGAGAGCTGGAGCCCTTGAATACCTTTAGTGGGAATGTAAAATGATATGGCTGCTACAGAGAGCAGTATGCAGATGCCTGCGTCTGTGTGTGTTGGGGAAGTAGGGGTGAAATAAAAGCGCCACCAAGGTTAGAAAAAGCAAAACGGTATGGTAATTCCTCAAAAAATTAAAATAGAATTGCCATATGATCCAGCATTCTACTTTTGGCTCTACACACAGAAGAATTGAAAGCAAAGATGCGATGAGATGTTTGTATACCCCTGTTCACAGTAGCATTATTCACAATAGCCAAAGTGTGGAAGCAACAAGTGTCTATCAACAGATGAATGCAGAAATAAAACGTGTTATTTTGTGATATATTCCATACAGTGGAATATCACTTGGCCTTAAAAAGGGAGGAACTTTTCATACATGCTACAACATATGTGAACCTTGATAACATAATGTTGAGTGAAATAAGGCGATCACAGAAGGTTCCAACATGTTCCCCTTTTCTGGGAACTCTTCTGTCAGTTTTAAGTCCACTCACTCTTTTATCCAATCCTGCTCCTAAGACCCCTAGTCTGGCCCAACGCTGACTTTTTTATTTTTTTTACTTGAAAGGCAGAGTTGCAGGTAGAGAGAGGACAGAGAAAACTTCCATCTTGGTTCACTCCCCTAACAGCTGCCATGGCCAGGGCTGGGTCAGGTCAAAGGCCATCCTCCACTGATTTCTCAGGTGCATTAGCAGGGAGCTGGATTGGAAATAGAGCAGCTGGGACCAGCACCCACATGGGATACTGGCACTGCAGGTAGTGGCTTTACCTGCTAAGTCACAACCCCAGCCCCAAGGCTGACTTTTGAATAAAGATCTGATACATAAGGCACACAACTCTAAAATACAGGCCATTTGTATTCCATGTGTAATTTTGAACTTAACTGCTGTTCAGTATAAATCAAAGCTTGAGAAACATATTTATAGAGAATTGTTTGAAAGATACACAGTTCATCTACATGGCATTAGTTTTTAAGATTATTTATTGACTTACTTTTGTTTTGTACACCAAAGCTCAATATATAAGTTCTAGAAACTTTGTGAACCCTCCTAAATTGTCAATTTAAAGACCTGTGCATTTTTGGAGGGGAAAGTTCCTAAGTTTTTAAGATTCTCAACATATTATAAAAAAGCTTAAGAATATCTGTCTGGGAGCAGCGCTGTGGCAAAGTGGGTAGAGTTGCTGACTGTGATGCTGGTATCCCATGTGGGCACCGGTTCAAGTCCCAGCTGCTCCACTTCTGATCCAGCTCCCTACTGATGGCCTGGGAGGAACAGCAGAGGATGGCCCAAGTGCTTGGGCTCCTGTGCCCATGTGGGAGACCTACAGGAGGCTCCTGGCACCTGGTTTCACCACTGCAGCCATCTATCTGGGGAGTGAACCAGTGGATGGAAGACCTCTCTCTTTGTACTCCTTCTCTCTCTGTAACCCCCACTTTCAAATAAACAAATATTTTTAAAAAAGAACATCTATTTATCCATCTATCACTTATAAGTTGTACTTCCTTGCATGAGATACATCATCAAAGACTTAGTTCAACTACATTGTTGTGCCTCAAGCTCAATAACTTTTACTGAACAATGTTTTGGCATTATGCCAATAGCTTGCATTAAAAGGAACAGGCTTGGTACTAAAAATGTGTTTCATGAGCTATTTGGAATTCTCAAGACTTTAACCAGATAATACATTCCATAAGGGCAGAAATGTACTAATGCCATCATGAGACAAGGACAAGCCACGAACAAGGCCAGGAATATGAAATTCCCTATGGAAGAACCGGAGTCTAGGGGCCAGTGCTGTGGTATAGTAGACTAAGCCTCCGGCTGCGGAGCCGGCACCCTATATGGGCGCCAGTTATGTCCTGGCTGCTCCTCTTCTGATCCAGCTCTCTGCTATGGCCTGGAAAGCAGTGGAAGATGGCCCAAGTGCTTGGGCCCCTGTGTTCCTGGCTTCGGATCGGCCCAGCCCTGACCACTACAGCTATCTGGGAAGTAAACCAGCAGATGGAAGACCTTTCTCTCTGTTTCTCCCTCTCTCTGTAACTCCTGCCTCTCAAATAAATAAATAAAATTTTAAAATAAAAAAAAATTCTTTCTCTTTTTTTTTTCTAACTCTTTAAAACTGTATTCACACAGAACTGTGAGAGCTTTTCCCTTTGTTAGAGAGAGCCTTCTCATACAATAATCATTTGGCTGGAATTATATGAAGAGTTTAGTTTCAGACCTTCATAAAAACACTAAGATTTCTCCAAAATAACCACAGTAGAAGATAAATTGTGATATATGGATGAAAATGGTAGGATCCAAGATTGCAGAAAGGGGTTCAGTTAGCTCTCTATGGAAAAGGAAACAAACTCAAGAAGACCCTTTGGATCGTCCTAATTTAAGCTCAAGTGGAAAAAGGAGGGAGAGATGTCAAGAGGAGAGGAATTGTCAATTATTCATCTCACTCCAACATCAACAATTCTAATTAAATCTACAAACCCAGTGAGTCTTTGTTGAACTATTCATCTCTCTTTGAAAGCTTACAAATCAGAAACACTTACCTTTAGTGGTGTCAGACACTTTCTTTCCTAGTCACCTTCAAAATTAAACACTTGCCTGCCTGCCTCAAGTCTTCAAGTAGACTGTTCCTCTCATTGCCTTAAAAAAAAAAGCTGGGCTGGCGCCGCGGCTCACTAGGCTAATCCTCCGCCTTGCGGAGCCGGCATACCGGATTCTAGTCCCGGTCGGGGCACCGGATTCTGTCCCGGTTGCCCCTCTTCCAGGCCAGCTCTCTGCTGTGGCCAGGAGTGCAGTGGAGGATGGCCCAAGTGCTTGGGCCCTGCACCCCATGGGAAACCAGGAGAAGTACCTGGCTCCTGCCTTCGGATCAGCATGGTGCACCAGCTGTAGCGTGCCAGCCATGGCGGTCATTGGAGGGTGAACCAACGGCAAAAGGAAGACCTTTCTCTCTGTCTCTCTCTCTCACTGTCCACTTTGCTTGTCAAATAAATAAATAAATAAATAAAAATAAAAAAGCTGAAAACCCACTCAAATACTACTCCCAAGTGTGAATTAATGCCATCAGGGGTTATAATCTAAGATTTCATATAATAACCTCAAGTTCAACTTTGCAATGTAGTTTTCTTCCTATTTCTGCAGAAAAAAAAAAAAAAAAAGGTCTCGGCAACTGAGACAACTGAGACTGAATCCTGCTGTAGTTTCTTGGAGATCCAATAAGAGGCTCCTCAGAGGCTGAGCACTTACCTGAAACGAAAGGTTTTACATATTTCATCTCAGAGAAACACCACCTAAGAATAAAACAAAAACTGCTTGTCAGTCAAGGCCCTGCTGACACAGTCCTACAACCATCAAAACTGATTGTGTGCCGGACACTTTACTATGGCTTTGATCTCCACTAAAACCTGGGACCAGGAGGAGGAGGTTATTTTTTTCACTAATGAAAATTCTGAGGCTTAGCAGAGTGAGGTGACTTGCTTAGCATCAGTCAGGAATTGAATCCCTGCTTGGCTGACTGCTCTTGACCCTGTCACATTCACAGGCCTGGACAGAGATGAGGAGAGGACTCTGAACTAGGTTTCCAGGGAAGTAACTGAGAACTATGCCCAAACACCATGGTCAGAGTATAACCAGATGCTCCTCTTTGATGGGCCTGGCACTGAGCACAGGTGGAAATTCATTGTTCCACTATATCTCCACATTCCAGCATACTTTATTTCTTTACTTTTCCCCTAAATCACTTATAGGCACTTCCTCCCAAAGGTGTGATCCATGAACAACTTTTTCAAAAATACAACATCATTGTGAAAACCAGACACCCCAGCCCCCAGCCACCACCATCAGAATCACTGGGACAGGTGGCATCAGGAGACCCAGGAGGCTCTTTTGCTTACTACATTTTAGATTACTCATTGCCTTGCAGCAAGAGTTAGGGTAATCAGGAGGAAGTCAATGGAAAGCCAGGCTCCCTACTCATCGGTCTGACACTGGGTCAGACTGCTGTGAAGAAAAGCACTGGAGAGAGATCTCATGTGAAGGCGCAGGTCCTAACACTGTTTTGCAGCTGAAAAAGATCTTGGCAATGGTTTTCTGACAGTGCTTTATGATGGCTTAGGAATTTTAAAGTGTGATATGAGAAAAAGGGATTGGCAGAGCTTGATGTTCTAAAAAAGCTACTGAAGTCTCAATGGTGTATATTTTGAAACCTGGACTTTTGTGTAAGATTTTATCTGAACAAATGGTTTTGCTGATCTAAAAAAATAAAACCTTGGCTGCACATGGGGAGTTAAAAAAAAATCTGGAGGCCTAGCATACCTCCCATACTTACAGAATTAGATTTATGAATAGGTTCCAGGCATCAATATTTTTTGCTATCAGGTTATTCCAAGATATAGTCAAATCTGCACCAATATAATCCATGCTTCCTTATTTGAGATAAAAGGAAATTAAAACCCAAAGAATTCAAAGGTCAGGACTAGGACCAACATCTCTTGAATTCTAGCCCACTATACTATGTGGTACTCTCTCCACAATCTACAAAGAACCAATTATGCCTCCGAGGGAGGGAGCATATAAATCAAAATCGTACTACTTCACATTTATAAAGTTCTCAAATTTTTAAAGATGATTTTATACTTGCATACAAGAGTACTTCACAAAGTTCATGGAAAAGGGAAAAGATGTTTATTTTGGTGCAAGAAGAGTTGAAACCTGTGCAGTTTTTTTTTTATAAAATGCAATTTCCATGAACTTTCTGCATGCACAGATTTCAAAATTTTGTTGCATAAAAATAAACTTGTCTTTAATTTACCATGAACTTTTTGAAGTACTCTTGTATCCTCTCTTTAGATTCTTACAAGACACTGGATAGCAGGAAGGCAAACTTTACTGGATCGGTTTTAGAGAATGAGGAAATCAGAGGTCCATTAAATTAACCCATCCATGTGGCTTAGAGGTAGGGCCAGAATTAAAATCTTTATCTTCACCTTCTAGACTAAGAAAATATAAGTGGGCAAGTGTTTATTCAGTGCTTGGTATGTGTTAGATGTTAAGGCCTGGTTGAAGAGACAAAGTAAGACATCCATTCCCTCAATTAGTGTACAGTCTGTTTGGAAACACAGAAACAACTAAAATACTGAACTGCCTGGCTTATCCCTTGGGCTAGAAGCTGAAAACCTTCCTTGACTGACCTCAATGACCAAGTCTAATTCTCTCCAAATTCATTCTGTGGCTTCTTCTAAGTTCTTTCTGACTACAGTCACTAATTCTTGGAAATCCAAAGGATCTGTACACAAGTAGATCTACTGCATTTCTAGGCAAGGTCATGTATCTGAAAAATCCTTGGCGAGGGTGAAGCAAGATGCAATTTCACTGAGGTTCACTTCATACTCTGAAGACCAAGGATAAAACTCAGCAGAACACTGGGAGATTCCAATACCAAGGACTATGGGTAAATAATAAAGGTGTTCACAGAAATATTTCTCCCATTTACAAAACATTTTAATATCTGCATAATTCACAATTTATGTTGTTGAAGGTGGCTATTGCAACATGAAAGGTGAAAATAACATGTAGGAAATAATATTTGTCTATAATTCAGAGTGGCGGTGAAGATCACAGGTGGACAAGAGTGTTCAAAGACAATTTTTTCATGAGGAATTCATCAGACACTACAGAATGTTGTCATCCAGATGTTATTATAGGAAAGATAATAAAAGAACCAGGAACCTATGTTTTATTTATATCCTGAAAAAGTTGGCTAGGAATAGTCGAGCAGTTGTTCTCAAATGTTAATTTCATTAGAATCACCTAGAAGGCTGGGTCCCACCCCTCAGTTTTGATTTAGGTACATGATGGGGCCCAGGATTTTGCATTTCTTACAAATTCAGATGGCACTGTTGGTTCAGGGACCATAGGTGGAGAATCGGTATTCCTCCAAGATCGACAGGGGTGTACAGACATGTGCAAGTGCACACACATTATGGCTATAAATTATGACAACTTACTTAACTCTATTATTATTATAAATGACACCCTTGCCACCAACCAAATGGCCTAAAAGAAGACTAAATTAGGGAGAAATTTAAAGGGTAGTAACATAGGGAGACAGTCTGAGAACATGAATGAATGAGTCTGTGAAGTATGTGTTTGGGTGTTTAGCAACAGAGAGGTACATGTAATAAATAGGAGACAACATTGCACTATAAGAGTCTTCCCCCATTTTGAGACAGAAATGAATTTTGTTTCTTGTATTAAGAAAATAAACACCCTTTGGACTTCTCTATTCCTTAAATGCTACCCAAGATTCCAGCCTCATTTTTCTTATTATACATTTTCCCAGCTTTTCTTAACTATGCCTATAGCTTCACTTACTATTTATATCAATGGTTGTTAACTTTTCTCAGACTAAGAAATTTCTCTGATTATCTGATTAATGATATATATATATATATATCCTTCAGAAAAACAAGTATATATGCTTATACTTACATATTTTGCATCTAATTCAGGATATTTGGATACTCTCAAGTTCATAGGCCAGGTTAGGAACTCTAAGATAGTTTCATCTTCAGCCCAAATTTTTTATACTGAGCATTTGCACTGCATATTCAAATGTCTACTTAACTTTGTATTCAGATGTCACACAAATGCTTCCAAATCTGCAATGATTGCTAATTGAGTATGCAGTTTCCCTTTGGGGTAATGAAAATGTTCTGGAAGTAAATAATGGCAATGGTGCACAGCACCATGAATGTACTTGATAGCACTGGATTGCGCATATTAAACTAGTAACAATGTAGAATTCTTATGTAATGTGTATTTTACCATAATAAAAAAAACTTACAAGTACAAATCTTAAATCATTGCTTCTATCCCCTTCCTCTGACCTACTCAAATTTGTGATGTCTTCCTTTTCTTGTCTTGGAACATCAGGTACTAACGTTACCATTTGCCCACCTGCCCACATCAGAAACCTGAATCATCCCTGCCAATGCTTGCTTTCTGCCCATTTGTCATTAAGCACGAAGTTCTGTACATTATCCCCATTAACAAAGAATTAACTTGGAGTACTACAGTCAAGGAGACAGCATGTCTGAGCCATCACTTTCTGTAGACACCAGAACCAGGCCCCTATTAAACTAGGCATTCATAAGAGAAAAAAAGAATCCTGGTCTTGGCCTGGCCCCACCATAGAGCTTAGACACTGGATTTCTTAAAGATCAAATGTGGTGGTACAGATATTTTACTTAAATTCTCTTATCAGTACCACTCTGGCATAGAGTTTATCCTGGTTTCTAGCCATTAGGATGACCTCTGATCCGAATCAGCATTGTAGGAGCCAAAGCCAGCCTAACCACGTATCTAATCTTGGATTCCTGTTCTTCCTGAGAGCCTAAAATACTGGCTAAGAAAATACCCAAAGTTCTACATCAGGATTGCAAACTCATATACTTATTAGATGCCAGGCAAATAAGGGAAGGCCTAGGGTAAAATAACAAATGGAATCTGTGATGAACTGTAGTAAGCTAATTTAACAGTTGCTTCTCAGCTCCAACTACCAGTTGCTTTACGGGAATATGAGCTAAGAGATCTTCTAACTTTGTCAGCTCTCGCAGAATAAGAAGCTGGACAACTACTGGGAAGAAGAGAGGGGGCCTGTGCTTGGCAGGTAGTCTGGGATCCGCAGGTAGTGTGTGGGTACGGCCCCCAGAGAAAGTAAGGCAGAAGGCGATAACCTTTCCGCGGGCGCCCCCTTTGGACGCCTCTTGCTCACCGTCGCCGTACAGCCGTCGACTCCAGCGCCCTCCATCTTAACGCATCTTTTCTGCGCAAGTGCAGCAGAGCTCCAGGTTCGGCCCAGCGCCAAACCCCGCCCCCGCCCCCGCCCGGTCCCGCACGAGCCGGCCTACGAGCCTGCCGCCTTTCTCGGCGGCCCGAGGCGGGGGCCTGCGGGAGCTGGCCTGCGTGCTGCAATACCCCAGCTTGGGAGAACGCAGATGAAAGACCCTGCCTTTGGGCAGATCACAGGCTGATGAGGGGAGAACCGACGAGTTACCTCCTAACAGTGCAGAGTGCGGTGGGGACGGCTCCAGAGTAGTTGGCTCCTAAAAGCTTCCCAGGGGCCAGGGATGAGAGCTAACAAGATGTCTCAGCTAGGGGACCAGAATGTGCAAAGGCAGACGGGCGCGCGTGGGAGTGATGCAGGGTGCGGGGCTGTCTTGAAGCTTCAGTCTGGGGAACATGGGTGACCACTGAAAAGCTGTAGCAGGAGAGACTCGTTTGAGTCTGTGGAGGGGGCAAGGAAAGAATGGAGGTGGGAGATGATCACTGTCACCCAGACAAGGAGAGCAAAAGGCCATGGCCCCACTTGTGCCAGTGGGGACCTAGGTGTGAGACAGGATTCAAGAGGCAGTTTTGAGGCAGAAATGACAGAAGGTGGCTTGTTTGGTGGGGGGGAGGGGAGGGGAAGAGGGGCATCTTTGATTGACTTGGCAACTGAACTGTATTTATTTAGTAAGCAAATGGTGGGGCGCCGGTTCTGTCCCGGTTGCTCCTCTTCCAATCCAGCTTTCTGCTGTGGCCCGGGAAGACAGTGGAGGATGGCCCAGGTGCTTGGGCCCCTGCACCCGCATGGGAGACCTGGAGGAAGCACCTGGCTCCTGCCTTCGGATTGGCGCAGCGCGCGGGACCGTAGTGGCCATTTGGGGGGTGAACCAACAGAAGGAAGACCTTTCTCTCTGCCTCTGCCTGTCAAAAAAAAAAAAAAAAAAAAAAAAAGCAAATGGAAGTGGCCTTAGTTTGTCAGTGCCCCTTCAGTACCTTCCCCATGAGTGATGATAGCACAGGCGGAGGGCATAGGTGAGCACTCTTGCTCCGGTTCTGATTCCCATGCCTGGAGGCCTCGGTCTGCCAGTATTTCCCCCGCTTTGGGAGTACTTCTTCCTGCAGCTCTTCTTCCTTGGACAAAGCCTGCATGAAGGAGCAGTGTACATTCAAGGAGGCCTCAGCTCTGTCCTGTCCATGGCAGCCTCAACCCCTTGCCAAACCCTGCAGGCATCAACCCCCCCCCCCCCCCAGGCTCCTGCCTTGTCCTCATGGCTCAGGCTGTGGTCTACCCAACTGCGTGAACAAACGGAAGAGGCAGCATGGACTAGTACTGACTGGCACACAGCATCGCCTCTACTCCTCAGAACCCTTTGCAGGAAGCTGATGCCCTAAGTCCCATGACTCCATTAATGAGATTCGTGGTTTCGGGTGAAGGCCAAGAGGCCAGCCCAATGGCTGCTGCACTGCTTCCTGCTCATGCAGACACTGCATGTTCTGCCACCTGGGTGGTGGGGACTGAAGGTGGGTGTGGGCGTATAAAGCAGAAAAAAATCTGCCATTACATAGGACAGTCATTTCTATGGCTTTCCACACTGGAACAGAATTACCAGACACCAAAGACTGCTAAGATAATTTATTACAGACTAGCCTATAATCTCCTGTAACAATGGCACATACAGCAATTAACAACAGCAGAGATGCTTCGTTTCTTGTTTCCTGTAGCGGCCGGTACAGCTTGTGGACAATGCTGAGTCCTCAGGAAGTCCAGGGGGCTGCTGCTGAGGAAACCCATGGACCATGTCACATCTCTGAGCGACAGCCTAGGAAGTCCATCTGACCGCCTGGAAGTTTGTCTCTGACCTCCCAGGGAGTGTTCAGGCCACTCTCTGTCCAGCCAGTCCAGGGGGATCAGGTTCCCAGCGGCTCTGTAGGCTTGAACACCTATGAGGGACACAGCAGCTGACCCTGATGGAAGGGGGGGGCTCAAGGCGAGATTTTTCTCCTTCAAGGTGGAGAACAGCCCCAGAAGGCAGTAGCTACAGGTGAGGACTCTTTTGAGCTTGGTTTCCAAAATATTGGCTTTGTTCAGGGCCTACCCAAGAAGAAAATGCTGATGGATCTTCAACTGGCCCTCAGGTACAACTACACATGAGACCGGCTTCCCAGGTACTAAGCAGCACTTCCCTGCGTGCAGAAGCATGGTTCGGGGACTCCGGGTTGGGTGGCCCTGGTGCCTGAGTTCCAAAGAAATACTCTGCTCAGGGCTCTGAAGCACCACTCGGTATCTTGTTCAGTTTCAAAGCCTTGCTTTCACTGGAGCAACACTAAATCAGCGGATGCTGCTGAAGTGACAGTCTTAACTCCAGTCTGTGTGTTCCTCCACTGGCCATACTCCAGTCCACACCACAAGGCCCAGCTAGAAATGTGGGCTCAACTGACTACCACGCCAGCCAGGCATGACCCTAGGCCCTCCATAGACTTGTTCTTCTGATGATTGGCATGTAAGTGTCTAACTGGAGAGGGGTAGAGATAGTTTATGTGGAATGGCTGATACTCAGAAATGTCCCCCTCTCTCTATGGAAAATCTTTCCACGCGGTAACCCACAGCCTTGCTCCTAGCACCACAGACCTGCTGCTCAGGGATTCATGACCCTTACTGTGAAAAGCTATACTCTCACCATCCTAAATTTTCCTTAACTATTCTTAACTGAAGGGGTCAGACTCTTGACTACAAGGACCCTAAGCAGACTATGTAGCTAACTCCCAGCGCTGCCTGGTTGGCACATAAGCCAAAGGTGTTCAGCTCCCCTCCTCCGTGGAACGAGACTCCGATTTGAGTTTCACAAATTCTCGGGCTACTTCGTCATTGCTCCTCTGAGACAGAATCCGGAGAATGGTCACGCCTGTCTCATCCATGTGGATCTTCCGGCCCAAGGGGCACCAGCAGGCACAGCTGCCCTTGGCTGCCACATCCCTCAGAGGCATCACCGCCAGCCCTAGCACACGATCCTCCCGGGCAAAGCAGTAATCCTTCACACAAATCTGCAGCTCATAGGCCTCCGGCCCCTCTTCATTTCCTAGGAGACTGTGAGCACAGGGTAGAAGGTAAGAGAACAAAGCTGAGAGTCTTAAGTGGAATTCACCCCAGCCTGCTTTCCAGCCCATCACTCCTCGCCCCCTGAAGTCTTAGTCTCCAGGTCACCCCCATCCCAGAGTCCTGCAGGTCCACCACCCTGTAACTTACAAGTGGAATGTCTCATTGTACTTGGGGGCCCAGTTGTTGCTTTTGGACTTGGTTGTGAACTTCCTCTTCTTGTCGTTTTGATGTGGGCCAACCATGGTCACTTCCACAAAAGGCCGGAACATACCCGCTGTTTGCCACTTGAGGTCATTGGCAGCCACCACTGCCCAAACAAAGGAAACCTGTGAGGGATCCCGCCCAACATTCCCAGCTCTTGAGCCCCAGATGATACTCCTCTTTGAGGGCGATTGGGATGAGCAGCCCATGCCTTGGATTGATGAGTGAGGCTACTGAACAAGAACAAGTCAGACCTGTAGGTCTACACCACTCACCTTTCACTGTGACCTTGTGCTCCCCGGTACCAGGGTGTGTAAACAGGTCCACCTGAATAGAGACTTCTCCCACAGGATCATCCACACCGGACCCTGAGGAACAGATAAATAGATGACCTCCCCTCCCCAGTGAAGAACCCTGGGACTTGAGGACAAATTATTCCCGTCAAAACTGAAGGGTTAGGAGTCTACTATCCTACACCCTAAAGCAGGAAGCAATCACCCACGGTAGCTATGGAGAAGTAAGGAATGGCAGAAGGGATAAAGAATGAGGCTGTGTATTATAAACACAAGTTAAGTGGACAGCATCATAGATGAAACTTCAAAAATGCTCTAGGAATCTCTTCGGATCCCCAAGGCTCTTCTTTTTTTTTTTTTTTTTTTTTTTTGACAGGCAGAGTGGACAGTGAGAGAGAGAGAGACAGAGAGAAAGGTCTTCCTTTGCCGTTGGTTCACCCTCCAATGGCCGCCCCAGCCAGCGCGCTGTGGCCGGCGCACCGCGCTGATCCGATGGCAGGAGCCAGGAGCCAGGTGCTTTTCCTGGTCTCCCATGGGGTGCAGGGCCCAAGCACCTGGGCCATCCTCCACTGCCCTCCCTGGCCACAGCAGAGAGCTGGCCTGGAAGAGGGGCAACCGGGACAGAATCTGGCGCCCCAACCGGGACTAGAACCCGGTGTGCCGGCGCCTCTAGGCGGAGGATTAGCCTAGTGAGCCGCGGCCCCAAGGCTCTTCTAAGCTGAAGCAGTTCTATTGAAACTGCTATGGAAGGGCAGTGCTGTCACCCTGTATCTGTGTCTCTTAATGGAACAATGTGAGTTCCTTCAGGGCAAAAGCAGCACCCTTTTGCCTATTTCCAGGACTCCTGGAGGCCCCTGCTTGGGAGGCTGCCCTGCTTGGACACTTCATCCTGCTCAAACCTGAGCCCCTCCACAGAACAACACCCCAGTCCCAACCTCTGAAAAGAGCCGACCGCAGGCTCCCCTCAGCAGAAGCCCCACCCAATTTTGAGAAAACATTACTACCTTGCACCCCAAATGAAAGCCCTTTCTTGTCCTGAGGAAGAGGGTGGGGGAATCCTGGGGCCAGGACAGGGATCCACAACCGAACCCCTTCCTGGGTCATAGGAGTACATCGTTGTGACTTGGGATACAGCTTCCAAACCTTGATACCTGATTCCCCCCCAACCCTCTCCCCACCTCCAGTACAAGCAGCTCATTCTAGTTCACAAAGGTCAATGTCAACCCATATTAGATTCACATGTGCATGGTGTATAACATACCCTTTTCCGGCCGAATGTCCTCATTAGCAGTAAACCTAATACCTTTCCCATCATGCACTGAATGAGGACAGGCAAGTC